TCTCTTCTCCTCCATTCGCTTCTTGGGATTTTGGGCATGCATGCACATGTGACTGGCATGAGTTTTAAGATACCCAGGTCTGGGACTTGAATCACAGCTGGCCACATGGGAGTCTAGCACTTTAACCACTATGCCACCTGCTGACCATTCTAATCATATATTTTTAAGAGTCAAATCAGGTTTTGCTTATTTGTTTTATATTGACAGTTTTCATTGGCACAAAGGATTCCTGGGTCAGAGCAATGCAACAATAGAATGGCATATTCCGGACACTGCCCAGCCTGGAATCTACAGAATAAGATATTTTGGACACAATCGGAAACAGGACATTCTGAAGCCTGCAGTCATACTTTCATTTGAAGGCACTTCTTCTGCTTTTGAAGTTGTAACTACTTAGTGAAGAGTTGATCCATCATTTCAAGAGCAGCTTTCCTCTGCACAGTGTATAACTGATTTTACATGAGTGTGAACTACCTTGTTGACTTCTGTAATTGTCCCTATTTGGGGCAAATAATTTACTGCTGATGGGCCAGAGGTGTGTGTGTGTGTGTGTGTGTGTGTGTGTGTGTGTGATTTATCATTTCCCAGCAGACATGCACCTTGTGGCCTATAGCCCAAAGCATGATTTCTCCTGAAGCCTTGTTGCTATTTAAGGGATATTGCCTTTTTGAATGAAACCTCTGAAATGTTAGTGAGAATGGTTGAGATGTGTGAACAATGTTTAACCTATTTATTTACAGAATTATGGAATGTTAGCACTGGAAAATGTATAGAAATTGTCTATATTGAATCCTTTATTTGACATATGAGAAAAATGAAGCTTTATGGGTGTGAGATTAGATAAAGTTATAGGACCTTTCCTCCCAAATCCATTTAAAAGTATTATGTAAACCTTGACATAAGCTTGAGCCTCATTAGAGAAACAGAAAATTAGCATATCAGATTTCCAACATTCAAATGAGCATAGACTTTCAAAAGCGGTTATCCTGGAGTTGATGTGCCTAACCCTAAGTAGTTGTTGATGCTCAAATCATTTTTGGAATTGCCTTCAGAGGCCAATTATAAGAAAGTCAGACTTATACTTTGATCATGCCTTGTACTAAGTGTCCTTATCTCATTTGATTATCTCTCATTCCCTAGACTTAGTCAAATAAATTTTGACTATTTTTATTAATCAAATTCACCCCAAACCATGGAGCTGTGCCATTAGTGCAGATATTAAAATTAAAGTATTATTAGCTGAAAAGGCAGTCTTCAAAGAGAAGGTTCTAAATGCATTTATTTGTCCTTTTATCACTCACTCACTCATTCATGGACAAATTCGGTCATAAAATATCTATGAAGACCTCCCTGTCTAGCACTGTAATATGGCAGGACCTTGACAGACAGAGAGATTGTATATGGAGTGATGCATAAGTATCAAAGGTGACTATTTTGAAAATGAAAGTATTAAATGGTGAGGCATTTAAAAATCAGTAATTCTCAAGTCACACCTTATGTATCATCTGTGTTGGATACTCTAATTTGGGGGGAAAGAGGTTTCAGACTATTTGATAAATACTATCTTGAAAGTTACTTTTAGATACTGTGAACTGTACAGCCTAATGTCTCAAATAATCAGATATGACAATCTGACATTGATCACCTGAAAACGCTAACTGCACTTAAAGCTATCTAAGTTAACTAGGAGCTCCCAGATTGAAAAGTAAATTTCCAAACCCCAAGTCATACTTCTGCATGTGTGCAAAACTTTAACATATTAGGGGAAAAAAATCTATCTTTATTTCAAAAATAAACTTTAAGATTTGAAAATACTAATAATATTAATATTTATAATATTAACATTTATTTAGGCATGGCTTAACCACTTAAACATGCTATATTGAATTAGAATAAACCTGGAACACTTCAATTAATCAGTGCTCTAGTGCAGGGACACCCAACCCTTGGCCCAAGTCTGTGGCATATTAAGAACTGGTCTGCACAACAGGTGGTGAACAGTGGGCTGGGAAGTGAAACTTCACCGGGATTTACAGTCACTTCCCATTGTTGCATTACCACCTGAGCTCTGCTTCATGTCAAATCAGGGGAGGCATTAGATTCTCATAGGAGTGCAAACCCTATTGTGAACTGTGCATGCAAGGGATCTAGATTGTGTGTTCTTATAAACTATTCTCCCTCACTTTCCCTTCCCTCATGGAAGACTTGTCTTCCATGAAACCAATCCCTAGTTCCAAAAAGGTTGGTGACTACTGCTCTAGAGATTGTATCTATGGAGGTTATGGAGAATTACTCATCAGGATTTCCAAGAGTTGAATTTAGTTTTCCTAATAACACCATAGTCTCTGGTATAGAAGTTCAGGGGCCTGAAAGAGAAGATAATTCTGAAAGCAGTTCACCCCAAACTAAACAAATATATATTTTATTATATGGTTTAAAAAGTACTTTTCATTACTCAGAAGAGTTGATGAAGTATTTTTCATCATCTCCCATTCTTCCCAATAAAGCATTTCTGTCTCTTTGTGGTTCCAAATTGCACATAGCAACTGGAGCAAGGTGCCAGTGGCTCACCTGTTGATCCTTTCTTACATCCAGTTCTCTCTTAACTAGTACTCATAATCATATTTTCTTACTTGCTGTCATCTCTTCCTGCCCATGTACTGGGTCATTGGAAAAGTCATGACGTATTTTTCTATGCAAAAATGCATCATGATGTTTCCAACCACCCAATAGTTTTGTTTTTGCTGTTTGTGTGTAAAAATAAGCCCAAACTCCACATTTTATATACCACAGTTATTTACCTGCTCATTAAAGAACATCGTGAAGAGATTGACCTGATATGTTAACGTAAAACACAGATTCAGTCTGCTGGGGTTGGCTCACTGGATTTGAAACATGTGGGAGAAAGTCCTAAAACTGGAGAATATGGGAAATGGCCGGCGAGGGAGGTCAGAGGTCAGAGAACTACTGGGAAGATTTTGTTTTTCAAGTCAAAGTGTGTGTGATTTATTTGTTTACCTTGCCTACTCTGGTTTTCAGGATACTGTGACTTCTTTTAAAAGCACTGAATAATCTCTCTTCCAGGTCTATATTTTTCAAAGAGTATTATGTAAAATTATCAATATTCAATTGACTTTTTAATAAATTCAGAATTAACCCTGAGAAAGTGTAATTTTCTAATGAGACATAATGTAGAAAATTGAATCTTTTAAAATTATTATTATTTTTTTAAAAGATTGAACAGGGGCCCACAGGTAGTGTGATGGTTAAGATGCTGGACTCCCATATGGCCTACAGTGGTTTGAATCCTGAACCTGGTAGCTTGGAAATCACGGCAAGTGTGTGTGGGTGTGTGCCCCAAATCGTGAGAGGAGAATGGAGGAAAAGGGATTGTGGCATGACCATCCTCTTTGGAGGGGTGGGGTGGGGTGCGGGAAGGGGAGAGGGATGTGTGTGTGTGTGTGTGTGTGTGTGTGTGTGTGAAATTTCTCACTTTCCCTCTCTCTCTCTTTCTCTGTCTCTCCCTGGTGAGTGCACATGCCCTATGGCAAAAGCTTAAAAACAAAAAAGATGGAACAAAAAGTGGTAGATTACATATAAATCAGGTGGGAAAACGATATAAGTGACATCTGTAAATAACTACTCAAACACAATGAAACCACACCATCATTTCTTTCCCAACCTCTGAAAATGTATGGTCGAAAAATATATATAGTTGGAATTTTCTTACTATTCAGGCAAATGAGTTTCCCAGGCAGGCAGCTAATAATAAAATTGTTTTGTGAGCTAATTGTCATTTTAAAAAACATATATTTACTTTTTATTTGAGAGAGAGAGAGAGAAGAGAAAGAGATAAGGGAAAACAAGATATTTGGCAGGGTCTTACCATGTCATGAGCCTCCTGCCCTAGCCTCCCAGTTAACTGGGACTGCAGGTGCACACCACATGTGTCCTGTCTTGGTTGGATTGAGAATTGAACCTGGGCTTCCCATATGGCCTGGGCCTCCCATATGGCCTCAGCCTCATGTCTTAACAACATGAATGACCATGGTGAACCCTGTTGAATTCACTCTGAATGGAGATGAAATGAATAAAATTTTCAAATCTTCCCTCTTAGGCTTCTTCTCCAGTTATGCAAGCTCACTTTCCCTTTCTTTTATTTTTTAAGTTTGCTCTACGATGCATGTTCTTACTAGAGAAAGAAGGGAAGAAGGGAAGAGAAAGACAGGAAAGCTGAGAGACCACCCCCTGGGGGATGACCACACCACAATCCTATCTCCTCCATTCTCCTCTCAGGATTTTGGGCATGCATATTCATGTGGCCAGCATGTTTTTCAAGTCACCAGGTCCAAGATTTGAACCACACAGTCAGGCTCGTGGAAACCAGCTGCCTTTGCCACCATGAGACTTGGCTGGCCCTCATCATGTCTTCAGTTCTTCCAAATGATTGTTTTGGTTCCTACGTATCCAAAATGATATGCTGGTTATACTGGCTTTTGGAATTTCAGACAGATGTGATACCAGGAGAGAAAATTTGCATATTCCTTACAGACATTTAGCCATAATTAATAAAATATTATTGGTCAACCATGATCCAAACACTAAAGACATTTTCAGTCTCATATAGTAGTAACTCTTGAGGTGACAAATTCAGGTTTGCCATTCAGTGATGTCATTGATGCTTTTCTTAACATAGAGATGTTAATTATTAGGTTTTTCTACTCAGTCAATAAATGGCTATTTTGTATCTTCACACGATTGCATGTAGCAGCAAAACAAAAGAGAAAGATTCCTTTCAGAGTCTCGTTTCAGAAGGTGGAAAATATTTAGTGTAAACACTAGCAGAATTTCTCTTTCATTTCCTTGTTCAGAACTATGTGACATGCTTATCTTTAATTGCAAGGGAGAATGAGAAACAGAATATTTGGTATTTTCTGCATCTGGAGAGGCATACAAGCTTTTTAATAAGAAAGATGGAGGAAGTAGCTGTTCTAAAAGTGTGTCAGTCAAGACAGATTAATTACGGTGCCATATTAGAGATTTATTTCTTGATTTCATGACCTCTCTTGGACTCGGTCAGTGGGTCTGTTCCACATACGACTCAATGACATAGTCTGATAAAGGGTTTTATCGTAAGGTGAAGGAAACATGGACTTGCATACGTGCAGAAGGTGGGCATGGAGAAGCATGGACCAGCTGTTGAAGCTTCCACGTGACTCTTGCATTTCATTGGGTAAGTGACAGAACCAGTATATTTGTGACCAGCTCTATTGATGACCACAAGAGGCAAGTGATAATCCAAACTGCATGTCCAATTTAACTGCTCTTTGAAATAACTGGAACTAGTTTTACCTTAGAAGATATATTTTAGGAAAAAAAAAATAAATAAATAAAAATTAAAAGAAAACAAAACCTCAGGACCATCGTAATGAAAAGTAATCACTTTCTAAATTGAAAATGTATGCTTTTTCTTATTTATTATTATTATTATTATTATTATTACTGCTTTAATTTGCAATAGAGCATGTGTGCTCAGCAGAGAGACAGAGAGAGAGAGAGAGAGTGAGAGAGAGAGAGTGGGAAAGCAAGCCACCAGGTCCAGGACTCGAATTATGGTCAGTTCTGTGGGAATCCAGTGCCTTAACAACAATGCCACGTGCTTGTCCCCCCAAACAAATTTATATGAGCACCTATGTAAATTGTCGCAGGCATTATGCTAAGTCTTATATAAAATAATGAAGGCACAGCTAGTTTTTGCCATCAAATTACTCAGACTTTAATGGATGAAGTAGACAGGTAAACAGGCAATTGGTCTTGGATAAGTAGCAGATTTCCTGGAAGAAATAACATCTAAGCAATGACCTAAAGGCCCCGTCATAAAGGGTATGTAGAAATTAGCCAGAAAGACTGGGCTTTGGAGTCTGGTCAATTTGAAATTGAATTATAGCTATGATCTTGAAGAGGTTACTTAAATTCCTTGATTTATAAAACAGTATTAGTGCTAATGACATTCTGTGATTTCTAAGAGGCCAAGTTACTGGTTAAGAGAGATTATTTTGGAAACTAAATGGTTCAAATTCTAGTTCCATCATTTAGCCAGTCGATTCTGGAGTTGTAGAGCCTCAGTTTCTTCACCTCAATTTCTTACTATATAAAAAGAGAACAATAATTGTTCATACTTTTTTAGGTTGTGAGATTAAAATAAGGAAAAGTTGCTGGCACAGTGTCTGGTACGTGGTATGTGTGTAAATCACTGAGCTGTTCCTTTTGTTAGCTATCAAGTATCATCTATGATAAAGCATGTACATATCTGGAAAATAGCAGGAACAAAAATTCTTTTATTGAGAACTGAATCATGATTGGTCATAATGACTCTATACTCTCCTTAATGTCTTTTTAAAGATTACGCATCTCTGATATTAGTGTAAGAAGAATTGGAATGGGAAGAGAACTGAGGCTATTTGAGTGATTTAGGCTGAGAAACAATGGAGGTCAGGCTTTAGGAATGGATCAGATCATGCACATATACGTTCTAGAGTTAAAATAAATAGTATTTACTAATCACAGATATGTATGTGGGTTTAGGAGAAGACAGAGTTTAAATAACTGAAAGTCCTGAATCATTGTGTGATATTAACAGTATAGACAAGACCTAGGCTATAGGGAAGGCAGACAATGGGAATGATAATAAGTCTGGTTTTAGATGTCTGAGACTTTGACAAGATGTCCAGGTAGCAAAGTCTAACACACATGGGAAATG